TGCCATGAGCAAAAGAGAAATGAAAAGCTGAGTAGTTTGCTGAATAATATGTTAAACTTGGTCTGCTGTGGATGGTGAGACTAAGAGGTAAAACTGAAATCATGCAAATGAAGAAGAAACAGCAACAGTTGCACAAGGAAAATAAATTCCTGATACCCACAGACAGGCAGAGACAGACGCAGTCCAGGAAACCCTTCAAGAGAGAAAACAGCTCCTTGTTTCCCATCACACAGAGGTGGCGACCCAAAACATGCAAGGTCAGGATCAGGTTTGAAGAGGAGCAGACAGAGGGATGTTCCTTTAGGAGGAGGTGGGAAAGCAAATGAAGCAGCAGCAGACAGGCTTTGGGAGCTGTGGAGAAAAAGGAACTGAAGATGGCAGCGTGGAAGTTAAATAAGTGGTAGAAAAAAAAATCAGAGCGGTGACAACGTCAAATAAAGAGCTCCCAGTGCGGCCAGCAGAAACCTCAAGCAAAGGAAAAAAACGTCCTCGATAAAAATAAAGAAACATTAAAATGAAAGGCATGAAAAACAGGAGAAAGTAAAAGCACAGACAGAGAGAGACAAACAGAAATGAGATGACAGAAAGAGCAAAGCGAGCTAAAACAGAGGCTAATAATAAACTTTGCTCACAGCTCCCCCCTCTGAGAAAGTCCTCAGAGCAGAATTAAGATGTGTGAAGAGGCAGAGACAGATCAAGTGTCGCTCCGCTCTGAGGCCTGTAACTCCTAACCCCCCCGCCACGCATTCCTAATGATCAACACGATTTCACAGAAAAGGTTTGATTTCTTAAAGGAACACAGTATAGAGGTTTTTTACTGAAATACACGTTTATTAGAAATATCAACTCTTTAACAAAAATCCAATTGCAGAATTCATCTTGAGGAACATCAGAATAAGGAAAAAACAATGCAAACTTTTCTTTTCTAAAACTTTAAAACAAAGGCTTCTAAACAGAAATATGCATTATTTCAATAATACATAATATAGAGTTTAATTGAAAGCCATGCAACTATTAAAACTTTATTCTTGTATATTATTTGAATACAGAATGATAAAAAAGTGTAAAAAGTGAACCCTGTGTTACTTCAAACTGTGAGCAGATTACAAAGGCAGATTGGTCTCTTCATAGCTGCTTCCAGCATAGATTAGGATGGCCCCATAAGGCTCTTCCTGCTCAGCACGAATCTTCCTGGAGGAAACATTCTCTGCAAAAACACAAATTATGTCAGCAGTATATACAGGTGCTGGTCATAAAATTAGAATATCATGAAAAAGTAGATTGATTTCAGTAATTCCATTTAAAAAGTGAAACTTGTATATT